AGGCACGTGCTGTTATAGCAACAGAGCCATGTGGTGGGACCTCATATGGGTTACACTATGGGGTAGGGGTCTGAACTATTGAGTTGTTTATCGAGGTCCGAGTGTTCACAGGCTTGTTTTATTGCAGGCAATATCTCCCGTGGAATTACCCCATGTCTTTCTGACCGAACATGCAGTCATGATCCCTGCAAACTAGGGCGCGTGACGCGGCGCGTACTGGAGCGCAAAGGCGGCCTTTTCCGCAGCTCACGCCATATTGAGCCCACTACAAGCGGTGGAAACTCTGATCGGACTGTGTTCCAGGCCTTTCCCGCTCAGACCCTCTATCGTTTGCCAGTATCATCACATAGAACTGCTTTGCTAAGGCCCATGGGTCTTGATGGTAAGCAACTTTAAAAAAATTTTGCACTTACGGAGGCTATCTAGTCAAAATGAAAGAGAAGGTAGCATGCGGGGGCTTGTATAAGCTCATTCAGCTTTCGAAAGCCGACAAGTTCAATTTCAGGAAATGGGACCATGTCTGGAAATGGAACGATGTCCGGAAATGGGACCATGTCAGGACAGAGTGGAAACGGGACCACCGGAGGTTGTAAGACCTCACTCCGTGCTCCTAAAAGCCGACTAGCTCAGTTTTAGGGAATGGAACCATGCCGACTGGGAACGGGACCATGTCTGGAAATGGAACGATGTCCGGAAATGGGACCATGTCAGGACAGAGTGGAAACGGAACGATGTCTGGAAATGGAACAATGACAGGACAAGGTGGAAATGGAACCATGCCAGGTGGTCGTAATGGGACGATGACAGGAGGTGGCGGAAACGGAACTATGGTAGGAGGAGGAGGAAACCGAACCGTTGGTATGACGACTTATTCCCTGTCGTTTTAATAATGACGTCAGCTGTTTCCGAGCTTTGAACGAAGTCTTGCCAAGGTTGGGCTCATTACTTAGCGCTCCGCTACAAGCGCACTTTTGTGAGCTAGCGCTTGGGTTATTAGATGTGCATGGCGCTTTATCTAGGCCTAATATTGGACTGCGTTCATAGTTCGGAAAGCTCATTTCAAAAAATAAAGGACTTTTTTCAGAATCTAGAAGATCCGGTGCCGTTGGACAGTTTCCCAATCCTTATTACTACTATTACTACTATTACTATTACTAAAATATATATCAGTCGGAGATATGATTCAGAGCTTCATGTTCTATGCCGCCGACATATATCCTGCCTTAATAAATCTCTGCTGCCAGATTTTGTGCTTGTGTCAGAACAGTCGACCAGCGCAGGGGCAAGATGGCTGTGACCGGGTGGTTACTGTCAAGGTCATTGCTGAAAAGGTTGACGGGTATGGCCGAACATCCTGTCGCAGCCCTTCACCAGTGACGTTGGCAGTAACTCCCACCCCAACCGTCGTGCCCTCAGCCTTTGAGGATTTTTAACGTGATATCTTATACAGTCTTGTTCGCTGCGGTTGACGGGGCGTGTCAGAGGGGCCGAGGTTGGCATGCCGCCAGTCCATCCTCCACCATTGTTGGAGTGGGTAAGCGACAACAATCGGTGGAAAACGAGTGGTACAAACGATTTGATACAACCTTGTCGCTTGCCGAAAGAGAAAAGAAAAGAAACTGGCTGGCGCTGTGCCAAACCCATCCTTGAAACACATCATCCGCAGCGAAGAAGGCTGCATGCGCGGGGGTGAGGTCAGGCACTGTTGCTGCTCTCAAGTCCCATGACATGGACACGGACCGATTTCGTTTGCTTTCTTTATTGCGCAAGTCTCGCACTCAACAACTGGTTCGATCCCTGCCAGAAGCAACTTTTTTGCAAACGCATATGGAAACTTGCCATGAATGGTGAGGGTGTGCCGACCATGCTATCGCCTCGCATACAAGGTGGCAATTTGCTAACAATCGCAGAATTTTGACTACGAGGCAGAAACACCTACGTAGAGTCCATAACTGGGAGTGGGGGAGGGGGGGGGCGGGCGAAGAGGGGCGTTTTCAAGTACACTCCACGGCGACTCCAAGGACTGAAATGGACCAGAGGAAGAGACATGTGTATAAAAGAGGAGTGTCACCAAGAAAGTGCAGCAGCCGTCGGCGGTGGAAGTGCCCGTTTTGCCCTCCATTATGAAGTGTATGTACCCTTTTAAACACTGTTGACGCTTATCCCTATTACTAACCTAGTAGAATAGGTACAGGTGAGCAGTTTTACCTCCCAGTCGCAACTTCCGTCAGCTCTACCACCCAAGGCAACTCGTACTGCGACGCTCCATCTGGGAGATAATGCTTCAGATCCGATTGGCCGCTCGCGGTGGTGCACTACGGTATGCTTTCAGAGGGGCCGACGTCGGCACAACTCAGTCAGTGGGTTTGATTTGCTCAGCACGTAGAGGGGGAAACGCTGCTCACGGGAGTCATTATCCATTTCGTATAAGACCTCCCAACATGCTTGACCCCTTGACTCCAAGGGTCCCAACAAAGTTTCATGTAAAAAGCAGAAAGCATCAGCAAGTTTTATTATGCGAGGGATGGAAATGTGTTCAAAACTGATCGTGCGAAGACCTTGCTTCGGCGAAGTGAGGGTTATGGTTTCAGGCCGTTTCCACCGAGTGATCTGGCCCTTCTTCAGACGAGACACTTCTAGGACGACGTCCGTTTTCCGCACTTTCCGGCGAATTTGGCGATTCTGGTGACTTATTCTGTAATTGAAAGGGTGAGCATCATGAAAAAAACACCACCAAGTACCTCCACAATGAACCATCTTCCTGCCTGATTTTCACAGCAACATCCGCTACCCACAAAGAATTGGAGCACAACGGATAGAATGATGAGGATCCCTTTTTGCTATCCCACCATGCCTTTCACGTGGGGAAGAAACATATCCAGAGCGTCCCCACCAGGGTCTTCACTGAAAACTCAGGTTTTCGCCTGGGATCTCCTCCACCGCCCTTCGCCTAGCGAAACGTTCCTCAGCTGCTTTATCGCAGCATTTACGATCCAGCCAGAGGTGAAGAGTGGGACCGTTGAGCACCATCAGTTCACAATATTCTTGAGCATATTCCCCTGAGGCCTGGAGAGCGCTCAGGGAATGCTCCCGCACGCCTGATCGGCCTCGTGAACGTTCTGTGACATGTACGATGGGGGGCCTTACAAAGGGGGTGGATCTCGTGGTTGATGTGCACCAAGGATCAGATCTGAGCCAGTTCTAGCTCTAGATGTCATGGAGAAGGAGCTCACGGGATAGGGGGCGAGGGATACACTCAAGATCACCATCTACCAACTCTGAGGGAGAAGAAGGGATTAGGAGTCGCTTCAAATTGGTACATTGAGGTGACAGTGGTAGAAAGGCTACCTTTTTGGAGTCGTACCCTACTCCCCCCATTAACCAGTTAACCCTCTAGCCCAGTAGTAACCAGAAGCTTCGTCAAACCTGCTTGCGCCATTCTTCTTAAAACCGCCTCCTACGATCACAAATGGTGGGCAGTGAGGAGCGGTCGCGGGACACTTTAGCGTGAAGCGAAAAGCAGAGACAAATTGTCCGAAGTGCCTAAGATAAGACCCTTATCGATCCGTGTTAGAGTACAGCAAAGCAGAGGGCTTTCATGGAGATCCCTCGCTTGTGGAGGATCCTGGCTGCTGTGTAGCACAAGATAATAAACCCTTATACCTGACGCTCTCACCATCCGGATGTGAAAAAGCAATAAACCATCAGGCAACTACTAGAAGTAAAGTTAGAAGTAAGTCAATGGGGCAGTGGGCCGCAAATTGCCTTGATCATAATCAGGGTTAGCTTCGCCTTATACCGGCGCAGTTTTTTGGCCGCAATGCGGCGCAATGCCTGGCGTTTACGGAAGGACTCACGACGCATCCAACAAAGGTCGACGGACAGCTTAAACTCGTATCAATTCCTTTTGATTGGGCCGACTTTGGGTTTGCTTTGCCAAGCGCTCTCACGTCTGCATGCCATTCTATTGGGCCACTGCCCTAACTTTTCACAGCCATGGTCCAAATGGCTGCATATACGCTCGAGTCGCGCCTACCGCACCTGAGAAGTCCTCCCTTGCTCGCGACAGGTTCTTTGCTCCTCTTCACGCCTTGGTAGCCACTGTTCTCCGTTTCTCTGCGCTCTGGCTTAGGACCTCCACCGGAAGTTCTAAATGTCATGTAACGTTTCAAGAAAAGCACCGACAACGTTAAGTGAATACGAAACGATTGTTCAAAAAAGGAAAAGCAATAGGAGCTGTAAAAGGGAATGTCAGGGTATGTTGAAGTTGATCAGGGCGATCGTTTCGGTTCTTCGACATAGGCAATCCGGAGTTCTTTTTGTTTTCAATGTATCCTTGTTTTTTAAGGAAAGCGCAAACGTACCGTCCGGCCGCACTCGTTTTCAGCTGAATACAGATTCAAATAATTCAGAGATCATACTTTTCTAATTATTGCTATCTGCATAAAGAAGAAAACCTAGAATTACGCCCGTGAATTATCGGACTCGAGGGCTCGGTTCCTCACTACAATGGAGACTGAAAAACGATTGTTTCAGAATGAAAGAGAAAATTTCTGTAGCTCTGCGCCTTTTTCTCTGACTTTTATGACACAAAAGCTTCGCAGGATTATCTGAGAAACGCACCGAGAAGGAAGAGCATCAGGTAGCTGGCAAGCATTGTGGGTGGTCTGAAGTCCATGCAGCGGCCAAAAGTTTATATCGGCATACGGACGTCATCAGCTCGTGATATTTTGAATAATCTCTCCGTTCTCCCGGTTTTTTAATCCGTGCCATTTGACTCATCGAAACACTTTAGCATTCTGTTGGAAAAAAGAAATTCGACTCTGCAGCGCCGAAAATGCTGCTGATTATTGCTTAATGTGGATTTCTTCCCCTAACCGCTTGAATTTCATCCAAAGCCGTAGGGCAGAACGGCTGTGCAGCGGTACATAACGCTTCACTTTCATCTGGAAATCTGAATAATAAAGGTGTCACAATCTCAATAACACATACTCATCACTCAGAAACGAGAAATCCTTCCTATTTTGGTCGATCTAAGGAGATTAGTAGCACCAAAAGTTCATTCAGCACAACAGCATGGTAGTGTTCAATGAACATCGTCGAGATCGATCACCGGAAAACCTCTTGGTTGGGTACGCTAAAAATTTGAACGTGAACCCACGATAAGCTCGAACTAACAGGTTCCACAGAGCTGAAAAAGGGCAAGGTCTCCTATCCTGTTCGAGAATAAAAGTGTTCCTTTCAAGGCTTCTGGCCAGAACAGTATACTTGAATCTTAATGATTCGACGTAATAACCTTTTTAGGAGGTCAGGTCCGCGCTGCAGAAAAGCGCCTCTTCCTCCACTCGAACTTGCGATTAGAGCTGGGAGTTATTCGGAACTGCTTAATGTTTAGAGCCCCACTCCCAGAGAAGAATCAGCGCATCACACGAAGCCCATCAGCTACGTAAATATTTCAGGTACTGCTAACCTGAGAAATGGGTGACGTGCGGTTCGATTTCCCCATAGACCTCTCACCAGAACGCATGCCTTTTGCATACACTTATGCCCGCTCTCTGATGTGTGACAAAAGAGGTGCACATCTTCTTCTCATCTCAAGATCTCGTATCTCAGGTAGCGGCGATGAAATGATGAGCGTTCGTGGTGTAATGGTTAGCATGGATGCCTTCCAAGCATTCGACGGGGGATCGATTCCCCCCGAACGCATGCCTTTTGCATACACTTACGTCCCCTCTCTG